TTTGTAATGAGAACAGCATGTTATGCATCTTTGCGTACACCTTGCCAAATCTGATGTCCTCTCTTGGTAGTGCGTAGCCGAGCACATTTTTGCTAATTTCACTTTTAAAAATTATTCTAACAATCCATTGAGTATACCATGTTAAAGTACTTGTAAAAACCTTCAGAAACATGTATTTCAAGTTTATATAAGTTATCTAGTTAAAAAGTTATAGCCCAATGAACATCAAAATTGTAGTGACGTAACCGCTTGGCCAGACCCTTATGTGCCTTGATCTTTGACACGGGGGTAGAAACCTAATCTTGTGACATGCGCACTCGAAACTGCGAGCTCGTTTATACGTCAGAATATCTATGAAACGCATGTCATTATATATATATATATATATATATATATATATATATATATATATATATAAACAGACTAATCTCAAGATAAATAACTAAACGTCATATTAACGTTATATGATATTAACGTTTTATGGCATGATGGAAAAAAGTCCTCCATAGTGGAATGTGTAGGTTCCCTTATACTCATGTGACTGCAGATCCACTGCCTCATAAATTCACGGATCTTTTCTGTCACTTGCGGAGCGCAACGGATTCGACCACCATACGTAGATTTATGATAATTTACGGGAGCCAAACTAGTCTTGAGGAACTTCACTGCATAGAAGACCTACCCTATAACACTGGATATGTTAGACTACCAATCCCTTGTAGAATCGGTTTCTTGTAGGATTCAACAAGGTTGTCACGTATCACCGAAGTGCTTCATTTTATGCCATTAATTGTTGGCTTAGGAGAGACCGGGGTTTGTTGTCAGTGGCGTGCACAGATAGACTCTAGGTAGTGCTATAGCACCTGCCCTTTGCCATCGGGACCAAGCGAGTGCCCTTTTGAAAATTCGTTTTTTTTTTTTCGCGTCATCGCGATTTCTTCTATCGTATTCTCTATGTGCGTGCGCCCCAAAAAAAGGGGGGAAAAAAAGCGGTAAAATTAAAGGTACTGGAAAACGCGGAATGTGCGCAATAAGAAGCAGGAACCCCCCCCTGAACAAAAAAAGGCATTTACCCCGCCGTGGTCTGTGGTCTGCCACCACACATTGCTTCCTCGTCTGTGGTAAAAACTGAAGTGTCCTTATTTCTCACTGAGCACCTGCCCCCCTGTGCACACCACTGTTGGTTGTCACACTTTTTACTCTTGTAAGGATTACTCATTATCAAAACATCTTTCAATAGTCATTCCTACATTAAATGGAAGCTTAAGGTCTTGGCTTGAAATGGGTATCCCTTTCATTTTTGCAACTTAGAGTAACAAGAAGTAATTAACAATCAAAAACACTCTGACACATTGTGACAACCAACCCCATCACAGGGTTTGTTGTCACACGGTATGGGGTTGGGTGTCCCTATATAGTTATTAATGGGGTTTCAGTAAAAAACTTATTTTTAAAAATGTGCAACTTTCTAGTTTTTTAAGCTTGAAACACCAAATAAGTTTTGAAATGAACACCACCGCTTTAATGGTGCTCATTAATGCCCCGTGTGTTTAATTCATGAATTTGAACCAGCTGATTATACGTTTGAATTGTCCTCTGTAATGAGAAGTGAAATGAAGGAATTACAGTGCTGGAAAAAATCAAGCCTTCATTAAAGCTATTGTTTAATAATAATGAATTATGAATATAACAGAGATTGGAATAGACTAATCTCCATCAGAATATGACCAGGAATTTTTGTTAAAGGGTCAAGCAGCCTAGGTTGAAGTATGTCACTCTTTTAACTCAACATTGTTTTCTAATGAAGAACTAAAGCAACACTGTGTGTGTAATCAAAAACACCTAAGAACATATGGATGACAACATGTTACCCACACAGTAAAAATCTCAGTGTTAATTCAACTCCAGTAGAGTTTATTTGAGTCCAAGATGGATGGGTTGGTGTCATATAAACTCTTCAGGAGTTGAATTAACACTGGAATTTTTGCTGTGCAGTTCTTTCTGAACTGATTTATCCTCATCAAGTAATATGATCAGAATTTAATCAAACACTGACTGTGTGAATTTCTCACCATTTTCAGTGGAGTGTGTCTTCATCTAGCAAATCCTGTACCTTACTCAGAATCACATGAGTCGCAGTTCTGAGAAATATATGCCCCTGGATTGCCAGGGGTGCAGTCTTTGTGAGCCCATTTTCGGCAGATTGCACATTGGAGCCATACTTCCTTAGACCGGCTATTGGTGTGCAGCTCAACACAGACCATTTTGCATTTTTTTCCTTTGCTGGACCAGTTTCCTTGGAACAGCCTTTGCAAAGGGCCGAACCTTTCCACTTCGGGTTGAATATTATTGACGAAAGCTGAGGATACATCAAAATTGATTTGTCCTTGTCAATCTTTGTAGCTTGCACCTCAAAACATCAAAAAGGCAAACTCTGTATTGTACAGTTTTATGCTGAGAAACAAGAGGCTGCTTAAAATCACATCTGGTCAAAGAATGTAATAAGAGAGGCTTAAATACACTGGACTTTTAATTAGGAATGATCAAAATGAATTGGATGGAAGCCTTTATGTCACACAAAAAATCAAAACGGTTTCACATCCTCAGAAATACAAGAAAATTGAGGGTTAGAATTTTTCTTAAAATGTGATTTTGAAACCTCTTAATTGCCTCTGAAATTTCCAAAGTTCTGGAGGCACATACTGTACTATTGGAAGATAGCATTTTCCTATAATTTTAGACCTCATGGCTCCACCATGTGGAAAAGCAGAGTAATTACGATCAATAGGAAAAATTTAAACAAAATTGGAATGACAATACAGTAATTTTTATTGCCGACTTGAAGGATGACCGTCTTCACTTCTTACAGTGTAATACTTTTGGGGAAAAATATGATAAACTGTCTTTTTACAGGTAATTCAGTAGCAAATGTTAAGCAAATCCACTGCCACTAGTGCACTTCTAGAAAAAAGCTCCCTCAGTCAAATATAGATAGTCTAGCCAAAATTATGAATTGGCTAAATTCTTTTAAAAAATATTTTTTTATTTGGTTTCAATTTCTAGTGTTTGACCACGATGGAATGTTTTTCTGTTTTGCATTTATTCAGACAAATAACTCAGCTAAATACAAAGAAGAAACTGGAGCACTCAAATCACCAGCATAAATTTATTTAGGTGCCAGAATTTAAATTTTAAATTTATGCTGGTGATTTGAGTGCTCCAGTTTCTTCTTTGTATTTGGATTTACTGCCCTTTCTGCGAGCACCGACCTCCACAGACAGAAGGGCTGAAGTGAAAGGGGTTCCTTCATTTTAAAATAACTCAGCTACTTCATGGGTCAACTGTGATGATTTGCTTCTAGGGTCTCAAAATATAAAGATTGTTGAGGTCTGCTGAGAACATTGACTGCTGGAATGTGAAGATGCCTCGCCTTAAATATATGTATTTTTATTTTGTACATGTACCATTGTTTTATTTTCATTCATTTACTAATGCACAGTAGTGTGCAGTGATGATTCTACACCACCACTTTTGCTTAAAAGGGGTCCTAATATATTACTTCTCTATAATTTTTTTGGTGAAAATGTATTGAAAAATACTATTGTAGGCAATGAGAACAAAAAAGTAATTCCTTCTAATATATTGGGGTAAAAAAAATATGGGAAATAAACAAAAACACTGAAAACATAATTTTTTAAATAACAATTGAAAGGTGGTGCAAATTAAATTTTTTGACTCTTGCATAGCCTGAATGCATGTTTGAAGGCTCATTCCATGATTATTGATGCTAAAAAATGTGTTTAAACTGGTTTAAGGCAAAATAATTCTGCAAAATTACCTCTCATGGGCAGTTGTTCCAGTATATGAGGTGACATGAACTTTGAGTTGAATCACAGTGTTAAACACAGTGGCACGACGGAGGGCGCTGTCTGAGACTGTTCGTAGCCGCATTGTGGCCTTGCATGAAACTGAAGATGTTAAATGCTGGCATGGCACTGTAAGAAACACCATCAAGCATTTCAAAGAGACCCGTTCACTGAAAACTAGTGGCAATAGAGGTGCAAAACAGAAGTTAAGTGCCTCCGATGTTCATTATCTGTGTATTACAAGTAGAAAAATAATCAGTGGTTGACAGCACAAGAACTCCGTGATGATATGAATAGTGCTAGAGGTGAAGAGACGAAAGTATCCACATCCAGCCCCTCCAGATGCCTGTGTGAAAATGGTCTGATTGATCTTGTTAATGCCAAGAGCTGGCAACATCAAAAAAGACTCGAGTTTGCGAAGAAATTCAAGGATTGGACACCAGTGGACTGGGAATAAGTCCTTTGGACCAGTGAATCAAAATTTGAAATTTTCTCGCCCAAACGCAGAACTTATTTGCGCTGTAGTGTTGAAGAAACCTGGAAGTGGTAATATCATGATTTGGGATTCAGTCTGCTGGAAATGAGCCGGTGATCTCAGAAAAATCGACGGAATCACAGATTAAAAGAAGTATCACAGCATTGATACAAAACAAAATGTAACAATGACGCAAAATGTAACATTTGAAATCTCAGATCTCCTCGAGGTGGTCTCGGTACGCTTTCAAATGAACTCCAGTACAGTTTGTTTCGGTGAGAACACGAACAGACCTAGATCAGACACAAACGCTAAAAAAACTAGGTATTTTGGACTAAACCAGCTACCGTAGTGAGAGGCGCAGTGCATTTTGGGATGAGGATGCAAATTACCTGCCTGTTCTGACCAATTGAAGACAACCTCAGGAAATACATTCTGAGACACATCTGGCCAGTGGGTGATAGGAATGTACTCACGTGACTTGTTTTACGAACTCATCAATCGATTCGCACCAAAATAAAAAATGCGGTGTGAAAGGGGACCAAAACAGCCAGCAAATTTAACAATATATGTTTTTGCACTTGGTCCGGACCTACTGAACCGAACTACTGGTGTGAAAGCACCCTTAGACTTGGTGGACAGAACATTATGTGTCCCTGGCATCGGTGGTTCAATGGTAGAATTCTTGCCAGCCACAGTGGATACTTGGGTTCAATTCCCAGCCGATGCATGGCTCGATTAATCCACTTAGGATACAACATTAGATTAGCTTTATGGCTCATTGAATACAGGGAATTTCTTCATGCAAACATCGCAGCAGTGACGCGGGCCTGCAGGTTCTTCCTCTAAAACATCCGGAAGATCCGCCCCTCCCTCACCACCTACTCAACCCAGCTCCTGGTCCAAGTGCTGATCCTCTCTCACCTGGACTACTGCAATTCGCTCCTCGCTGGCCTCGCAGCCTCCGCCATCAGACCCCTGCAGTTCATCCAGAATGCTGCAGCTCGCCTGGTCCACAACCTCCCTCGACACTCCCATGTCACCCCCCTGATGACGAGCCTTCACTGGCTGCCTATTGCTGCTTGCATCAAGTTTAAGACATTGATGCTGGCTTATCAGGCAGTCAAAGGAACAGCTCCAGCAAACATCCAGAAACTGTTCACACAATACATGCCTACTAGATCACTCCGCTCTGCCACTTTTGTGAATAAAGCAGGGAGTTTATTTTTCACCTGTCTTATGGCTGCATAAATATCCAGTTTTTTTTGTCGAATGTTGAACATTGAATGTTGTTCTTTCATTTTTTTAAAAAATCCACCAAAAAAGATTTTTATGAAAAAAGATTAAGTTGAAAAGGAATGAAAATTTAATCTTCTTATTTTACTGGCAAAGCATGTTATTCATAAATGCAAATGCATAAAGAAAAAACCAAAGACTGAAAACTGTGACGTATTACTACTATGTAATGGATAGTTTTTGTTACTTCCATGAAAATTAACAAAAAAAAAAAAAAACACAGGAGCAAGCAAGAAATCAGCCCATCTCTGGATCCGCCAGGAGTGCTTCTGTGAGCGGTTGTGGTGGAAAACAAACCAGAACAAGAGGCAATCACGTTCTTACCAGCTGATAAACAGAGCTGACAGCGCCATCTGATGGAAGAACAAATGTAGTGCAGCATACTTCATCCAATCAATGTTCCTTTATGTATACAATTTCAGTGTCATTAAGTGAAAATGTTTTGTCATTTTATAAGAAAATCAATGTCATCATGATGACATCGCCAGTGAAATAGTGCTCTTTAAGTCAAACTGCATGTAAAAGTCCGTTGTCTTGCAAAGTCATACGCCTGTGATTGCCCTTGAGCACCCGGCCCTAAAATATTCAATTGTTGAATTATCATTCAGATCCATTATTAGCAGCTAACCAATGCAATTTTGAAGTCTTTAAAAGAACCAATACATTCAGTTCTTGTGGTTGAAATTTCATCCATGCTCCTTCAGGTTGGTCACCTGAAACTCACACGCCTCAGTCAATCTCCATACTTTTCAAATGCCAGTTTTGTATAGTTAGTGTCATCAAAAATGCACTGGCGAGGTATGTACTGTATTCGCCGCAAATTGAAGAATTGATCAATATTTATTGCTTTTCCAGTGAGATAGGAGTGGAAATAGAAAAGCGCATGGAATTGTAGTCCCGACGCGTGCCACATGGACGCGTTGATCACTTCGCTAATAAGGAACATTGAGTTATGTTTGATGTGTACAGTGATGCTTGACTTTTTGTTTTGGGTATGTTCAATAGCTCACATAAAGCCAAAAAAAAGAAAACTGCTACTGCATCAAGAAAATGGCACGGCTTATGACAGAAGAGAGAAAAGGAGCCTCTGGCATGTTATGGGCTGGTCTCAGTCGCAGAGACGTGGCGCGTCATTAGCTCTGTCACTGGTCAACAATCAGTCAATAGTCTGTCCGAGAAAGGCCCTGTCGCTGATTGACCCCACTTATAGCAGTCACGAAAGACCACTGTCGCTCAGGAGCACCACATCAGGTTACAGCATGCATGTGACAGGTTCCGAAAAGCAACTCAAACTGGTCATGAGATGAGGGATCTGAGAAGTCCGAGCATGACCGCAAGTACCATTCGATGCTGTCTACATGAGCAACACATATGTGCACATGTCCCCTACAGAAAACCCATTGTTACCCCAGCATTTTTAATGGCACTAAGTATATTTCCTTAGTCACATAATGCACTTATCATGATATGTCCTTAATTCAGTATGAACGCCTTTTATAATGCAGAAACAGACCTTTAAGTAAGGTCATTGGTATTAGCGGACCGCTAATGGCGGTATTCATCTACTTTCACAAGAGTGTCTTGCCAATTAACTGAGAGGGCTCATTGGGCTGGGGAGATAGGGCAAAAGTAAACTGGAGATAAACTGATTTAACAAAACCATACTGAACCACATACACACTCTGTGGTCCCGCAGAGCTTCATTATAAAACTGCACAGTGACCACTTTGTCTTCAACATCAAAGAGGGGCTCAATGGAAAACTAGCTGGAGGAGTCTCGTCTTTCCCCTTTCTATAGAGGTTCTAGAACCTCTCCGGGATATTTACACTCTTGAAAAATTTAAAAAAATATCAGCATTTCATGGAACCTTAATCAGGAAGTTCAGACTGCCTGGCAAAAAAGCCCATGGCTGTCTGGGACTCCGTCCAAATAAATTCCAGGCTGGTCAGACCTGCCATTTTCCTACTGGGGGTAACAGCGGTGTTCTGCCCTCTGGCGATTGTTGACCTCGGACTTGTCCTGTGCTCTCTGCACCCTGTACAACTTAGTGAGCCTTGCTGGGTGCTATTGCCTCCCTCCCCGTGTTCTTACATCAGGATCATTCCGATGGTGTTGTGACATTGCATGCCTGAAAGAGCAGTCCTTTGCTCTGTATACCCTCCTCAGCAAACTCAACCTGCCAGGGAAAACACAAGCCCTATGAACACCCGCTCTGGGATGCTGCCTTTACTGAGAAAATACCCAACAGCCCAGAGAGGTGCGGCATAGCGACCTTCTTTCTTATAGGGAGCGTTAATCATTAATCTCTTTCACCACTGTTTCTTCTGGTAGGTCCTCTGGCACCACTGTCTCATTCAGGGGATCCCCAGACTCCTCTATTCATCTGTTCCACTCGCCTCATCCTCTTGAGGGCTCCTAGTGAGTCTGCTGTTGAGACGTGGAGGACAAAAGAGACAAAGGCCTACAGATGGCAAAGGCTCAGAAAAAACTGGCATACCCAGTCCAGACTGTCTCTCCAGCAGTTTAAGTACTCCCATCAAGTCTTCTGACAAAAAGAATTCCACAGCTTCTTCTTCCATATAGCAGGGAGTCTGATGCCAGGCTTCCCACTCAGCGCTGGGACCCAGCTTAGGTGACGGTGCTTGAGATTCAGTAGGCCGCGGTCAAGGCTGTGTTTGGAGTAAGGTTTATTCCACAGTCTGCTGCTCTGAAATATAATTTTTTAAACAAAATGTGAACACATCAAGTAAAAATTGACATTTCATGACTGTGATTTTGAGATAAAGGCTATTAAAGTTGGGCACGTCTTACTTGATCTGCAAAAGCAGTTTACATATTACATGATTCTATTGAAACTAATAGGTGAATCACTCAAATTTTTTGACATCTAATACTTTATAGGTACATCCAACAAACTATTGCAAAGAGTAAAAAAAAGTCCAAGCGCAATGAAATGTAAATTTTTACTTGATGCGTTCACATATGTGTATCTTTTGAATTATAGCTAGTTTATTTCCTTGGTTGTGGATTTGATTTAGATGTATACTAAATTTCATGTTTTCAAACTGCTTTCATTAATGTGGTTGCTCTCATTTCCATTGTGACTTGGATTGCAATAGACTTTTGAAGCAGTTTACTGTACAATGTTTTTTATTAGTACTGGGCTAAAGTTTCTTCATCATTGTCATTAATTATTTAAAAATTCTTCTTCAAGTTGGTAATTGGAATAGAAATGAAACCAAAACCAGACAAAAAAAAAGCTGTAAGGGTCGTGCTTTGCGCACTAGTGGGGTGCACAGAGGACAGGTAGTTGAGGACTGGACTCAGGTGCAAGGATGGACTTGGTAGTATTTATTATGCCTTCTGTGCAGCAGGGAGGCACACACAAAGCAATACAAAACAAATTGGAAAAAAGGTTCCTTAATAATGCTATTAGTAATACAAACACTGGGATTTAGCGACAGTAACAATGTATTACTAAAATAGGAAAAGGAAACAAGGAAACGAGGTTCTTTAGTAATAAGGGTAAAGTGCTGATATCAACAATAAACAGCACTAAGTTAGAGAGTTAGATAATATACACGCAATACGCTGAGAATAAGTCTATACAAGACTAGAAATGCGAGTGTACAACACATGCATGTGGCTGACGAGACTTCGCAAAGACTAAGTGCGAGGCTCGGTCTTAAATTGCATAATACTACCACACAGTGGAAATGAATAACAGGTGCATGCGACGATTGTGCAGCTGAAGAATGCTGTCTGGGTCTTTACCCCTTTGCGCAGATATAGATGCCGGCATCAGTAAATTCCGAAATTTAATTCCAAATGTCTTATTTCACTGGAATAATTTTCCAGAGTCTCAGTGACACAAATACTGAGTTTTAAAGCCTAAATATGCTTATGCATAACAGGAAAAAAATTGGCATGATTTGTATTCTATGCAAAGGGGTTAAAAGACTGGTGAGTCTGAAGGCTGGAGGCGTGACCCTACAAAAGCGATCCATATTTCTTGTTTTCAACTTCAGATTTGCCATTGTGATAGAAATGAAACCAAAATCAAAAAAAGGCTTGATTTCCGCTTTAATTATTATACAGTGCAGTGAAAAAGTACAACCCCATTTCCATAAAAGTTGGGACATTGTGTAAAATGTAAATAAAAACGGACTACAATGATTGGAAAAACATTTAAACTCCATAATAAATTGAAAATCATACAAAGACAACAAATCAAATGTTGAAACTGAGAAATGTTATTGTTTTTGAAAAATATCTGCTCATTTTGAATTCGATGCCAGCAACACATTTCAAAAAAGTTGGGACTGGGCTCATCCTTCTTGCCAGCGTAAATACACTGTCTTGGCCCGCGACACTGTCTTTCAAGCAGTCACAGCACTGTCTTTCTGAGCAGTCACAGGAAAAGGGAGCATAAA